ACCCCCTCCTCCTCTGAGAGACCTCAAGGACTAATCTCTCTCTTGAAGACTGTTTTCTTTACCCACCAGCCAACCTGGAATGACTGTCAACAACTGCTCCAGACCCTTTTCACCTCAGAAGAATGGGAGCGGGTGTGCGAAGAAGGGAGGAAATTAGTCTTGGGCCCAGACAGCAGCCCACCTCAGACCCTGGGCAAATGGAGGTGGTTTTCCCTTATCCCGCCCCTCGTGGGACCCCAACTCAGACAGAGGTAAGGAGGCTGTCAATCGGTATCGCCAGACTCTGTCGCAAGGGATCCGCACATGGCACGGAATCCCACCAATCTGTCCAAGGTAACTGAGACCGTTCAGGGACCTACCGAGTCCCCCACCACATTTTTGGAGCACCTCTATGAAGCCTACCGGCTTTACGCTCCCATAGATCCCAAGGTGCCCGAGAACAGGCGCACAGTCAATATAGCATTTATGTCACAGTCGGCCCCAGATATTTTTGAAAAATTACAAAAATTAAAAGGCTTTAAAAAAAATTATCAGAGTTAGAAAAAGTAGTCCAGAAGGTTTTTAACAACAGGGACAGTATAGAAACTGCACAAACAAAAGAACTAAATAAAATAAACTAAAAGCAAAACAAAAGCTTTCCAAGAGTTAAAGCAGGCGCTAGTTAGTGCTCCAGCTCTGGCGTGGCCCAATCTCACCAAGCCTTTCCAGCTACATGTGGCTGAAGCCCGGGGAATTGCCAAAGAAGTCCTGACTCAACTCCTCGGTCCTTGGAAGAGGCCAGTAGCCTACCTCTCAAAGAAACTAGACTATATGGCTGCGGGTTGGCCGAGCTACCTGAGGGTGATAGCAGCCACGGCAGTATTAGTGAAGGAGGCTTCTAAGCTCACCTTAGAACAAGAGCTACAGGTAATAGCACCCCACGCTATAAAAATCCTACTGCAGAGTCCACCGGAGCACTGGCTGTCCAACACCCACATCACTCAGTACCAGATACTTTTGCTTGGCTCCCCCTCCCCTGAGGGTCAGTTACCTGAAAACAGCTGCTCTGAATCCAGCCACCCTCCTCCCTGACAATGACCCTACACAGCATGAGTGTTCCAAGGTTTTGTCATCACTGAAAAACCTCCAAGAAGATCTGACTGACCTGCCACTGCCCAACCCCGATTTGGAAGTTATTTCCCGGAGTCCACTAGTCACTAGTGTTAATAAATGGTTCCTTCATTTCTCTAGGAAGCATGCTTGGTATTTCTTTGCTCTTCTGTAACAAGCTAACTGCAAAATTAGCTTATGTAACTCGCTTGCTTGCTCTGCATAGTTGTCTATCAGGATGTGGTTTCAGCCTTTAAAACCCCAGCTCTGCATCTGGTCAGAGCTGCTCTCTGGACTCCCTGTGTGGAGAAAGGGTGAGCAGTCACTGGCCAGTAATAAAGACTCTTAAATTCTAATTGGAGTGGACTCTTGTGTTCATTTGGCTGCTCGCATGCCACAAAACAGAGTCCAGTGGGTCAAAATCTCAAGGAATGGATGTACTAAGGAGTGAAAGCAGAGCAGTTTCACTTCCCCATGTCATCCCTCCTCTGAGGCAGCACAATTCAGTCAAGAATAACCCTGAGGTCCATGGGAAAGTGAAAGTACAGTGAGCCCCCTCCCTTCCCTCCCTTCACC